TCAATCAAACATGAAAAATGAAGAGTTCATACTAAACACCAAGAAAATTTATCACCATTAAGTATTAATGTTTATTTAGCATAATACTATTATTTATCTATCTATCTATCTATCTATCTATCTATCTATCTATCTATCTATCTATCTATCTATCTATCTATCTATCTATTAGTTATTACTGCAGTAGTTATTATTAGGCATATATTAATATTTGTTTATTTTTATTTTTAAATAATTAGGCCTACCTAAAATTAATTATTAATATTACGAATGCATTATTGTTAATAATCATTAGTTAATATTAATTATTATTTATTGTTTTTATTTTTATTGAATAGCAAATACATTATTTCCAGACACCCCTCCCCACCCCCAGCGTTTTATTGGTAGGACCATAGTAGGACGGGTATCAGTACTTTCATTGTTCAACGATTGTTGTCATTTTGTTAATGGGTAATACGTATTACAGTTGTCTGAGCAGGAAAGATGAAAACACCTGATAAACAAAATGACCAGACCATTATGATCTGAACTTGTGTATTCCTATACAGTTTATGGTGCAGCCAAATAGTCAACGTAATGAGTTTTTCACCTGCAAAACTTTTACGTTGAGCTGCCTGTTTCATAGAGTGGAAATCCACCAGAAAATCTTTCTGCCTATCATTGACGCGACAATGCATCTTTATATTCTAACGTGATTATATGAACCTGGCCTTGATACTACTGATCAATATGAACTCAAGAATATACTTTGAGGACGATGCATACGTATTTCTCTGTTTATCTGCACTGAAAATAATTTAATGTGGGTGAAAGGGTCAGGACCCAAGACACGTTAATCAAAATGTCTCATGCATTTGCAGCGTTGCCGTCTAGGGAATACTCATACACCCAAAGAATGTAGCCACATTTGTGTCAGTAAATTAAGAGGGAAAATGAAAAAAAGAGTGTACCAGTCCACAGTCGCGCGTAAATGCTGTACAGTACAGTATTGTGCGTCCACAAGCGCGCGTAAATGCTGTACAGTACCCGCTGCGTCAAACCAATTAGATGATAGTAAAACCAGGATGTTTGTGTTTTAAACAGGATGCGTGCGGGTTAGCACAAATGATTATAAACTTGCAAAATAAAAGGATTTCTCAGCCTTGCGTTCACGATCTCGGTTATCTGGGACAAAAATTGAGTGAAATGTGTATTTCTCAGGTTAATGGAAACAAACAAACTGTCAGGGTGATTGAGGTGGATGGGTCAAGTGTTGGTCGCTTCATTATCTACCTGGCCTCGTTTATTCTGCTGATCTATCGGCTTTTGTCTTGATAACCTAGGCAGCCTTTCTGTCAATGGTGCTGATTTGACAGAGCATCTAAATAGCTACCAATTGTTATCGCAAATGATTGAGCACACATACAAACAATATTGCCATCAATTCCTGTAGGCCTGTTGCGTCAGTAAACGGAAAGAAGAAATGAGCAGAAAGAGGGTGCAACATTCACAGCCACCACTACAAATACACGAGGATTTAAGAATGAACACTATATCTTTGATTGATTGATTGATTGATTGATTGATTGATTGACAGGTTGAGATTGGTTGGTGGATTGATTGATTGATGGATGAATTGATTTATTAATTGAAGATTAGAAAATATTTAAATAAGTATTTTACACAGCCACGCGAATTATTGTTCAGATTTAGAAATAATCAGACCAATTATTAATTTAATATGTGTTATGCTTGCTTTTATTTTTGCCAATATTCCCAACATTTTTCTGTTTAAGTTAACAACTTCCCGTAAATAAGTACAGTAATCTTGTCCAGGGTATTTCATACCAGGTGTGGAACTCATCCAGATAAACCGACTGGATGTCATTGTGCAACTCAACACACTCCCACACTTGTTGCTTGCAATGCAGGTTACGACGTTGGCCTGGAGCTCTAAGCTGAATGATTGCTATGAAGTTTAATTTGCCTCCAAAATCTTTATTAAACATTAATCGTACTAATCGTAGAAAATGTCAAATATCCTTAAAAAAAGATACAGGACCTGTTAACATCATAAAATAAACATCTGCATAAAACATTTTAATTTGGGTACAGGTGGTAATCGATGAAAAATACTCCATGTAAATACTTAAATGTATGCAAAATCATATACAAATATATATATATATGTATATATATATATATATATATATATATATATATATAGTATACAATATATTTACAACTTATATCATATAAATATGTGTATAAACATATTATGTATGTGTGTATGAAAGATTGTTGATTGTTTACAGGTGTATTTTGGCTCAATTTTACTTTAAAAAACGGAATATTAGGTAACATTTTACAAGCGCTTTGTAACATTTGGCCTTTGAAAAAATAACGCTAAAGAAATGCCAGATTTTTTGTATGTCCAGATTCTAAACCCAGAATGATTTTTAAACTCTTATCCAACCCCTCTAATGTAAATATGTGCTTTATATTGACCCTGTCTCAACCCCGGACGGTTATATTTCATGTATGAAATATCAACTTCAATATCGTGTGTCCCTGCGGCAAACAAACGATTTATACAGATACGCATTGTGTTGACAGTCAAAGAAGCGAGAAAAGGTATTCAAACATAGCAGTGCATAGAAAATAGAAGCATCGATAAAAAGGAAACGAAAAAATGATCTACAGTGTAGTCGTAAAAAGAACAACCTGTGACGTCATACATGACGTCAGTTTAGAATAAATAAAAACTCGAGAACCTCGATCTATCCTACTGTAGTAGTAAAAATGTTTAAATTTACAGTTCATATCCTGTCCTATAATATACAGTAATAGGATCGACTGTACCTCCATGGATCGACGGAGCACCAATGAAATACTGGATGTTTGCCAGACGTTCTCAACTTCTCCATATTTCCGAGAACAAAGATAAATTTTACAGACTGTGTTGACTTCTTTAATTTTAGCATCTTTACTCAATTTATAAAGATTGTCTGCCTTTCTCAATCAGTCTAATTGAGCATAACAGAACACCGTAGATGACTACCATGTTTTTAGGCTAACCTTAAATGGACTTGGAGCATACACAATTGACCATTCGGAACCACTGAGGACCGTCGTCTGCTTCAATTAAACTACAAGACCGTAAATTATTGACACATCCCTGATTAACAAAAGAGCCTTTAGTGTGCCCGGATTTTAGATGCGAGACTTAATTTCAGATAATCCGACTCTTTGGATCGACTTCACAAAATGTGATTAGCTCAGCTTTTTTCTACTACTTTTTGCAACCCGAGAATTGAAGAAATGCCATTAAAATATCAGCAAAGTTAATTCTAACTTTTAAGTTAAACAAAAATTATGTAAATGGTGTAAATTGAGCAAGTTTATCATATCAACATGACACCATATATCATACTTCAATCATCCGAATTTGAAAGATATATTTTTAGACAGTGCTATGAATTGGTGTACGATGTGACAAGACGCAGCTTAAAATCACAGATTATATTGAACTCATCGACCATATTTCATGCGTTATCGATGTTTATATAGGTCTATGCCTACTTTAAGCTAAACATACAAAATACAATCCTTCAATAGTACACGAACTTTATTAAAAGCATGATTAGCAAAAGGGTCCTATATAAGACACATATCTGGATCTAGTTATGAGAATCAATTATTTAAAAATCGTTCAATTAAAAGACTAAAGTAAAACAATTTCAATGAAAACAGATAACAATTTATTTTCACTGATAATTTTTACTACATAAATAAATGTTTTTAAATAACCAGCCATTCTATGAATGTCTTCAAAAGAAAATTAGGAACTGTTATACATCTGTTAATTAATGGTATTTTCTCTTGTTTCAACTTTTTAAGTGAACGAATAACTTAAATATGGCAGAGAGGTTTCTACCTGAATGCAATACAAAGCAAGAAAGTAATAAAATGATTATTATAATGCAGTTTTTAAAGTTTGTTTGTTGGAAAAATAGTGACCCGAAAGAGCCATTAGTACATGAAGACAATTTTTGAATGCACTAAAATAATGGCTCCTTTTAGTCAATATTTTCCAAACATTGTCCTCAAAACTAATAAAATAATTATTATTATTGTTATAAAGGGAGAATAACGTCACATTGTTTGTACGATTCAATGGTAGATGTTTAGATAAGATACTATCTTAAATACGTTGGTCACGATCCTCATTATTATCGATATTTGAAAGTCAAAATGTACATCAAAGTTATATTGTCATGTCAGGAAAATGCAAATACGCGCTTTCTATTAATAATACAAATATAATAATGCCTCGCCATTACCCCTTCTGTACCCATCTACTCACAAAATTCATAATGGATCAATCTATAACAAGTAATAAAATACATTTTCCACCTGATCATCTCTTAACTTTGATGTATACCGCCTTACTTACCTGTTGCATATCTGTATCATCGTCCTCAAACGGACTAGGTGGGAAAATTACATTACATTCAGGGTTGCATTGGTGCAGAAGCCCATCGTCAATTGCCATATAGTCTACTTTCACCTGTTGGTTTGGTATCAACATCCCTTCGCCCATTGGTAAGGATCTTACTACCATTGTAAATGACGGGTATAAACAGCCCGAGAATTTTGACTGTCTTTCACGGTACAGAATCGCTAACTGTCGAAGCGTGATGACCACCGCTAGTGTCGTCCAACATTGTCACGCCCATTCAGCCGATCGCGTGTGTGATTGGTGGAACTCGTGATTTGATTTTGGAAGTTTTTTAATAGGAATAAACTCGCCTACCTGTGCATAGCAGTATAGTATTATAGTGTAGGCCTATTGATTTTAAGTGTTACGTTTCACTGCACAATAAATTGAGCTCATGGATACATAAATCTTGCTTCTCATGACACCTCATTAATCAGGATACGCGTGCATTAATTAAGCTGCACGTGCATGACAGCCAATTTCAGTAGTTGGCTGTCATGCACATACAGCTTAATTAAACATATTATTTCCTTCAGACAATTCAGTTTCACTCTTTGATTTACAGACTACGTGATACCAGTCAATTTAAGAATCTATGCAAAAAGAAATAGGCCGTCATAATAATATAGTTGAACCCCTATTAAGGGGACACACCAACGGGCCAAAATAATTGTCTTCTTAATAGGGGTGTCCCTGAAGAGGAGTTGGCTGTCCAGTACTAATTTAAAAGGGTATACGGTACGGTACTTTCCCTAGTTGCCCAAAATATGTCACCTTAAGAGGGGTGTACTCTTAATAGGGGTGTTCCAAAGGAGGGATTTTTTGGACTTGCACGTTTATAGAAGTGGCTCACTAAAACAATGGTGCGTCCGAACGAATAACAGTGGCAGATTGAGGACTTTTTTTAAGTGACAATCTTTTACGAATTCCTAGGGAGCTTATGGTTCGAGCGGAACTTTTGATCCCGGAGGGGGAGCAGGAAGTCAATCAGGTCTACAGTATTCCTCTGGAAGTTCAAGAGGCTGATGCCGTGGTGTGAGCGGGGAACAATTGGGCTCCAGCAATTTTCCGTAGCCCCTGTGTCTGCTACTGATAACGATTTATTTATTTTAGTTTTTTATTTTATTTTAGCTCAACAATAAGAATAATACAGTAATAATTATTCGGATTTACACTTTAATATCAGTAGCACTCAGCCGCGTAGGCGGTACATCCATGACAAAGCAAACTAACAAAAATGCCGAAAAAGTTGGGTCTAGGCCTACAGAAATATACAAATTCATAAAAATTACACTAAACAGAAAAAAAAAGATGTTGATCAACGAACCCAACAAAGAGGTAAAATACCAGGAAATTAATCAAACAAAAAAATTTTTTTTAATTGTAAATCAACATTACCAGGTACCCTTGCAGAATCCTCTCTACGTGTCCTTCCTTCCCATGCTGCACCCGTACCCCCACTTGTAACTCCCAATAATACACAAATCCAGCTCCCCGCATCAACAATCTTTGTCAGATGAACAATTCATTAAGCATATCCCTTTCAAATCACATAATTTTACATTTAATATACTAAAAGTATATTGGTGTAGATCTTTACTGAACGTGAGTCAACCAACAAGTGTGACGACAGGTCACAGGGGCGGATCCAGAAATGTCCAAAAGGGGGGGGGGGGCGGCCCCCTAAATCCGCCCCTGGGTCATGAGAATCGTGAGACCGTTAACAGAAAATGTGGGTAATCCTGTGAAAAGTTATTTTTATTACCGTTTGTCTAAAAATAACAATTACCGTATGTAACTAAATTGAAACAACGCTGGTTTTATGTTATATTTGTGAAAACAGCTTTCTTAGAAGCAAAGGTGTGGGGCCTATGGACAGTCTATTTCATTTTTAGACATTTTGGAGTTATCTAAATGGCGAGAACTTTGCATTGGTATAAACCACGTTCACTGTATGATACAGAGGCCTATATAAGTCGAATTATCGTGTGTGCACTTTTATATTCAGACAGACATTATCGAATGATTTAACTTATTTTTCGTCACCTTTTTCCAGACATCGTAGAAATTGCAAGTAAAGGTAGGACTTATAAGCTTACGGAAATTCAATTAAAATAGATAGTGTCTTACGTATTTGCATAACAAGAAAAAAATTAACAATCAAGCAGTTAAAAATCAACGCATTTCACAATGTTTCCAGCTAATTCCCCTAACATAGGCGAATCATCACCCCACCTCAATGTCAATGCATACGCCACCGTGAATTACGGTAGCTTGTCATTTAAAAGATGAAAAAAAAAGCTGATCAAGTAATACAAGTTTTTTACGGGAGAGCGTAGGGGTTGCGCGCACAATCCCCTCCAAAAGAAGACAAACTTGGCCAGTTCAACATCTCATGGCTTGTTTTAGCGCAGCTGCGCCATCCCTATGCAAAAAATAGACCCAGATAGCGTTCGTCCTCTTTGAGAAAGTCAATTCAAATGAACGCTGTCAAAAACTTGGGCCAGGGGCGGATCCAGAGTTGTCCGAAAGGGGGGTGGGGGGCAGGGCGAACGAGACAACACCACCCTAGGGGGTCCGCGAAATTTTTGTTTTCTATAGGGGCACGAAAATAACTTCTGAGGCGTTTCGGGCGATCATTATTTTTTTTACTGTTTCTTTTTTCTTTTTCTTTTTTTTACCTTCCAAAAAATGTGGGTCCACGACCGGACCGGCTCCTACTCCCTAAATCCGCCCCTGCGGGCTGTCGAAACTTCATAACCCGGACTTAGCTCTTTATATAGGCCTAGGCCTATGCATTATTTTATGACGTTTTCGATCTATTTCTGTTCGGATGATTGCCAAATGACGAATGTACGAGACCAAAACGAAATAACTACTATAGTCACCCTCCAATTCGAGACTTCTTTAATTCGAGACCACCTTTTTCGAAAAAAAAAAAAAAAAAACAAGGAAAAAAAAACAAAGACCGAATGCCGAGACCGCCCCACATTTTCAGGTCCCGGACGTGCTCTTGAATTGGAGGGCGGCTTTATTAGGACTGCTACCTGACATGGATGGAAAATGAGCCTCAAAGCCAGTGGTCGAATATTATTTAGTAGTTCTATGCCTATGGATGCAGTATCCTTGCGTTCTTTGTTTATTTAAATCTTTGTAATCTCAGTTTGGCACAGGACCCACCTTGAACTTCCAAGTCAATTCTTCCAATTTACTCAAGCCGAAGAGTTAGTGGTTAAGTCTTATACAAATCATTTGTTCAGATAGCCGAATATGTCTCTTTTATGCATCTATAGGCCTTACATTATATTCCGGCACACAGTGCGTGACATTAGGCCCGCCCTATAATAGTTACCGTACGGTATGTCACTTTGACTAACGTGGGCTTCATTCAACAAATATTGTGATTGATCTTTCCCACTATAGAGTACGGCGTGATTCATTATTATTGTATAAAATGGAGGTTCATCCATCCCAGAACCTTCTTCCGTTGTTTTATTGTTTGCCATCATTCGCTAATATTCATATACCGTTTTGTTTGTTCCTTGAAATGTACACAGTTTGCCCAAAGTCAATGGCTCACGTATACCTGTCTCTTATACACATCTAGATGTGTATAAGAGACAGGAAACAGTGCAGCTATCATTTAAATGTGTTAATTTAAATATTTTCCTATATTATATAGCCTATATTAATTAAAAGGCATCATACTGAAAAACAAAAATACTGTAGGAAACAATGGCTAGATCTCGGTAGAGATCAAGCAAAAACTAAAATGTAGACATAATTGAAAAACAGCTTTCACACAACACTACACCTGTTTTTACAGTAGGCCTATGCAATTTGGCTATGTGATGTTAGGATGGGTAAACCCCAAAAACAGTGACGATAAAGATGAGAATATCTTAAAATATGAAAAAGATTTCCTCAACCGTGATACGAATCACCCCCACCTTCACGAACATCCCGACACATTTTGCAGAACATTGACCCGGCCCTTCATCTCATTATACAGCCAATGTATTACGCGGTGTTAACATTCAGCGCAACTATTTTATGGCGATTTTCCGCGAAAATTTGAGTAAATTTTCGATGTATACCGTACCCCGAGCAAATAGAATACTCTACAGTTAGCCCCATTACGCATGGTCAAATCTTGTATGCCGCATCTCGTAGTCCTAGGCCTGGGTGTAACTTTTCATTTTCATTGTATGATTAGCCTATATTCCATTCAGAGTTCATGGGTTCGGCTAAACACGTGGTACAGACTCAAGCAAATACCGTGCCCCGTCCAGACACATGCACCTGTAGGTTGCAAGATAATCTATTTTATTATTCAATAAATTGAGAGGGACAATCAAGGTGATATTTTTTTCAGAGTTTCAGGAAATTTAGAATGAATCTTCTTTTCATCGACAGATAAGATCTAGGAATCTTACATCTGGGATCATGTCCTAAGTTCGTGACTCCATTTAAAAGAACAATAAATATAAAAAATGATCGCGCTTTGATGTTCTTAACATTTTTATTAAAAATACAAAGTAGGGCGTCATTATAGTGTGCACGCGCGGTAGGCCTGATAGAAGTGGTATCTGCCGAAACAGGTAGGCCAATGGTTGTACAACGTAGGCCCTGGCGGATCCAGGAATTGTAAAAGCCCTGGGAGGGACTTTACAATCTGGATAGATACGAAACCACCTCAGCCAATGACGAGGCTGGCACCTCAGATGACCAAAATTGCATTCTCAGTCTTTCAAAAAATTTTCTATTTTCAGAATTTTTAAAAATAAATTTTAATAATCCAGGGGCCCCGGGCCGGTTTGGCCCATTGAATCCAGTAATATTTTCGTCGAAATGAAAGAACGTTTAATTTAAAAGATTGACGAAGAACGTTACTGCATATTTTAGTTTAACTGATAAAGGCTAATTATTTTTTAACAATCATATGCATTTGTTCATAATTTATTTTGGCGTCCTTATAGCTTTACAAATGTTCGCCATTGATGGTCTATTGGGTGTTAAAATCTCGGTTATCGAGGCAGGTAGCTCTAGATGGTCAACAAAAAAAATCAGGAGCCCGGTCAGATTGGCCCATTTAATCTACTTTCGTTCTTCATCGAAATGAAAGAATGTTAAATTGACGAATAATCCTATGCATTCGTTATTTTTATTTTGGCGTCCCAAA